AGTTTTACCCATATGGCAGCGTGATCCAGTCCATCCAAGGGGGCAGTCACACTGGTAAGGGGCCACACAGCGACCTCCATTGAGACATGGCAGAATGCATATTGCTAAGGAGAAGAGACAGAATTATCTCCCATGAAAATAAAGAACAAAGTGTTCAAGAAAACAACTTACGTTTAATTAGAGACTGTACTACCCCTCAAAGTGTTTGCATGCAGTATCAGTAGAGTTGAGCACGATCTACCCACAAGGCAGAAGTAAATATGTCTGGCATGGCAACCAGATATGAGAAAGAGTAATGACAAAGAAATGGACAGACTGGGGAAGTTGCTAGAGTCCTTCAGATGCTTGTAGGCTCTGTGTTCACAGGAAATGAGCCACGGCTGTTTGCTTGTTTCTCACTTGTAATATCCATAGACACTGCCCACTTCTGTGACGGTGGCTGACAAAATCAGTTCATGCATGGATTCTCTGGGCTCCCACAGTGTAATATCAAAAACAAGTTAATCTATGCCTTGCCCATAGAAAAGCACTTGGTCCGGGCCAGTGAAAATGTGCTGCAACAGGTGACACCACAAGATCCCCAGGGAAAGATGGCTTTGACATAAGGCATTTTGGGTGAAACAGGCTATAGCTGGAAGCTCTGGGGAAAAAACAAAGTATATACCAAGCAGCTGATGGCCTCTGGACTGAGCACCAATCAAGCTATGCTGCTCCTGTGAGCACATCTGCAAAACTGTTCAACGTGTTCATGATTTAAGTACCTTCACAAAACTATCATCTCCACTACCCTAACTGAATGAAGTACTTGTGTAAAAATGCTCTACCAAGAGCAAGAGTTGAGCTGGGTCTCAAATTTGGATCTGTGAGTGGCACTTTCAGCAGAGTTTTATACTGGGAGGGTGGTGGGAGCTGCAGAGCACTGATGCAGAGTTCCTCCTTTTCTGCTGCACAGCAGAGGGCCAGCTGAGCAGATGCAGTCAGCCTGGACAAGAAAATAATAGCGAACTCCCATGGAGCTCACAGGACTAACCTGTATCACCGAGACAAACTTGTATGTGTTATTAAACTAGTAGTGCTCTGTATATTTTTTTAGAGTGGTCAAGACTCTCTCAGGAAGATTAATCTATCTTGTTTTCAGTGAAATTTACTGTGAACTACAAGATGACTGAATTCTGTCAGGACTCACTGTGGCCTTATCCTGAGAGATCAGTGCTCAATGCTAGCACTCAAAAATGCCTTTGACTTCCAGAACAGGTCCTCAACACCAACGACTAAACCTATCTACCTGTTCACTGGTGCACCTTGCTTGACAAGCAATGCTTGTCAAAATTGAGGTGGCACTAACTAGTTGTAGAAATTCTTTTCCCTTCTCTTAATTGCCCATGCCTAAGCAAAAAATAGAAGAGAGCTAGTGCCTGTATCTGCATGAAGTGTGATCTTGGTTAGTCAGCTGTCAGGGTCTGAGTTGGGACAACAGATCAAAATGACTGAGACAAAAAAATTTGCCCTCTGGTCCTGGAGAATGCTTCAAGCATCATTACTGATGGTAAGCTAATAAACTCAATTGTGGGATACCAAACACAATTTTGTCAGACACAAGTCTCAATCCTCTTCTGCTGAAACTGAAACATGCAGGGCTGAGCTTGCATGTGTGGCTATGGTGATACTGACAGACAACACAGGCACAGAAAAAGAGGGGCTGTGTGAATGCACCACATAGCTGGAGTTGCTGTAACTGTAGAAAGACAAAACTTGGTGAACATCTTCTCCTCATTCTGTATCTACCTGTATCATATCATACCTGTATTTTTTCACGTGGAACTGACACTGCCACAGAGAAGACCTGAAAACTGCAAAGGCAGATTCAGAGGACTATTTTAAGATGTGATACATCTTAAATGCTTGAACCACATTCTTCTCCAAGAACTACATGAGAATCTGCACATGTTTTTGTAGGTCTCCATGTATACTCAGAGTCAGGGACAGTGACACCGCCCCTGCTGCAGATGTTCTTGGATATGCTAAAGCTTTATGTCAGGGTCATACCAAATACTACACACTTTTTATCCACAGAGACCCATGCCTTACTATATCTACAGCAATAAGGCTTCTCATGCAGCAGCTATGCCAACATGAAAGGGTTAAACCTCCCAAATTCCTTGTGCTAAGACCACCATGAAGAAAATGGGAAACATGGCTCAAACTGGTATTCCCAATGTCACCCAGGGAATCTTTGACAGAGCTAAGTTCGATTTTACTCTTTTAGCCAGAACAGATCCACTTCTCTAACCATGACATGAAAAGCCAGCCCAGAATTTGTGGGGTACAGGTACACAGGCCAGGAAGGACAGCGCGGAAAAGGGGACATGTTGCATTATTTGAACATTAATGATCAGGTTCATAATCATAGACTGATAGAAAAGGAAGCCAAGAGACTAATGTAGCCACCAGTAGAACACTCATACCTCTTTCATTCTTGCCCTGTTCCCCAAAACTATCATGTATTGCTATTAAAAACAGACTTTGGAAAACTGATGCAACCTGTTCTTCAACCATAGTGAAAGAGTACCCACAAACAAAATCACATCAATTAAAAAAGTGCTTATTTTGGTTTGGAGATGTCAGGGGATAGAAGCAAGCCACCAGTTTCTCTTCTCTTCTCTTTCATTTGTCAAGGAGAATATAGCTATGATTTTTCTAGTTTTGGCTCTTATGCCTTTATTTTTTCCTAGCTGGTTCACTGCAGTGAATTCACCTGTCTTACCTACAACATCCTTAAAATTACACTAAGGGATGATATACGTACGCTCTTCACAGAGACGACCCATCCAGCCGTCTGGGCATGAGCAGGCGTTTGGTCGCTCACAGACGCCACCATTCTGACACGGGAACCGGCAGACAGCTAAAAACAATACAATTTCATCACAAACTCAACACGGTGAATTAGAAGCTTAGTCATTCAGCATCTTGCACAGATCTTTGCAGTTGTAAAGCTTAGAGTAGAACAAACAAGTGCATTTGCATTTCCCAAAGAAGCATTATTTGATTTTGATTTCAAGGGCTACTTCTGTCTCTGTGTGTCTGATTAGGTACTGTAAGCCAGAGTGTGGGAACCACTAAGACAATCAAAAATTGTCCAAGAGAAGAATGCAAACGTAGATGTTTTTAGCAAAATTGGGGAAATTACTTAGACAATGTTTCAAGGCTGATGCTGTGCTTTATCTGCTTTCCCCACTAACTTTTGTAAAACGAGAAAAATACTCTATCTCATAAAAACCTATTACCCTCCTCCCCCCTCCCCCCATGCCTTCTAATTCAACTCTAGAATAGAATCAAGCTTTCTTCTGACTTTGGTATGAAACACCAAGATAATGCTGTCTGGCATAATATAGGGCTTGTTGAAAGTGAAATTAAACACTGTAGCAAAACAAGCAATTTTTATTGCACTATCATCCAGCATAATGAGAAGTGACCAAAACGGGTGCAGCAGTGGCACAGGAAGTGTTTAATGCTGGAACCCGAAGTGTGACTGCTTGGCTTGCATACCTATTAATAAGCACATGATCATAAAAGTGAGGAATTTGGAGTGGACTTCATCATGATAGCCTAGTATGCTGCCTGGACTGAATAGACTTTGGACTTCATCATCTTTTCTATAACATTTCACCCTATCTTGGCTCACACATCCAGGGAAACCAGGACTACTTTACAAAATCAGGTGACAAGCTATGTACAAACACGTTAGACATAAAGATCATTGGAGGAAGTATAATCCTTTTTGTGCTGCTGTACATACTATGAAGATCAAAAACTGTGGCTTCAAGATGATGCTACAGAACAAATAAGTAATCAGACTGACATCTAATTAGTGGTAGTTATGAGCACAGAGTAATCTCAGGAAACTCAATCTGAACTGCTAATTGCATCATATCTTTAATTAGTTACTAGGTGAGCAAAATATGCATTTAGGCTTTGAGTGTTTCAGATCACGTTCAATATTAGTATTAAATACAGACAATGGATTCGCACACTGAAACACTGTTCAGACCTGAAATTCACACTGGAAAGAATGCAAATCTTCCCCTCATAGAGTCAAATTTGAGTCACTCTTGGACCTAAGCCATGCCAAGCTACAAGCTACATCTTGGATTCTGTTGAAATGAGGCCAAAGCTGTGCCATTTTACTTTGCAATCTCTAGAGCCTTCCCATCAAGTGTCAGCTGATAATGAGAATGGGAAAAGACCTTGGGCTCTGGCAGGTTAGCAGAAGTTGCAATATCTTAACAGTGATTTTGAAAATTTTTGTTGAAAAAATATCTACTTCTACACAGACAGCTTGTCGCTGGGTGTTGACTAAAGCAGAATAATGTGCCAAACAGATTTCTTTTGTGCAATGAAAACCCACTTAAAGCTCTGTGTGATCCACACCACTTAAACAATATTCAATGAATGTATAATGGGTTATGAGATAAAAGATTTGTGCATAAATGATATCCCACATTAAATTCAAAGCCCATGAAAAATGGTCTCCAAAATGTATTTTCTCTCTCTATCAATGGAGAAGATGCAAATATTTCAAGAGTTACAGAAACTGCTGTACAGAAATTTTTATGAATTACAGAAACTCCATGCCACTGTGCAATCCAGGATCTCAGGCAGAGATAGGCTATTCTTGGATTTCTGCCGAGGTGCTGGTTGTGAAACTGAATGAGACAGTATCATCCCTAGGTGTGCACTTGTTATACACCAATTAAGGCAAGCAGAGACTATTTGTCTGGACTATTTGTCTGTAGCTGTGGGGAGTATTCTTAACTCAACAGACAAGACTAGAGAAAAGCTCAGGACTGGAAGTTAAGCTGGGATCTCATTATCTTTTTTTGGCTATTTTAAAAGCAAGCAGGGCAAATGCAGTCCTGATGTGCTGTGGAGAGAATAGGAACCATGAATTGTGACTTCAGTTACTGGCAGTAAATCTCACATCCATGGTATCAATCTTTTGAGATCTCCTTGTAAGTCCATGCCTATGAGTTATCTTCACAGGACACAAAAGCATTACACTGCTGCAAGACAAACATGGGTAAGAAGGGGGAAGAAAGTTCTCTTATCTGTTCTCAGCTTTGCCAAAAAGATTCCCTGTGGTTGCAAGTGAACAATTTCCTCCAGGCCTCAGCTTCTCTCTCATATGCTCTTGTTTGCTGATGGGGTATGAACTTTTTGGTTGGCAGCAACACACTGACCACTCCCAGTCAGCAAGACATTTGCAGAGGGCAAACAGACAAGACAGATTCTAGAGCACTTTAGAAAGAAAAAACTGGAATCAGGTAAGCTGTGTGCATCTGCGCAGCCTGCTGAGTCCTGCAGGTATTTACAGTCAGCAGATGCAGGCTAATACTTCTCACCCCTGAAACTCAGATCAGAATCTGGCCTGCAACCTCTAACCAGTGGTGACTCAGGCAAGTGCAGCTGTGGTGAGAGCTCTTCCAAAGAAGTTCACAAAGTCTGCTTTTAATTATAATATTTATGTTAACTAACCTGTTCAACCAGGACAGAACATTCCAAGCAGGCTTAGGACACATTAATAATCAACTCATACAGCCATAAACAAGAAATGCAGCATGAGTCATTACAAAGAGTGCTTTCATGTTGCTTCTGATGTAGACCACAAAGGCTTGGGTCCTGTAGGACTTTTGTTAGGCAAATCACTCACATGAACTAAAAAGCAGTTGAAAGATTACTTTGCCATGTGTCATGAAAATGCAGGACAGTCCTCTCAGAAACACTTTTAGTTCTTTTTAGTTCCCCCTTTAGTTCTTTTTAGTTCCCCTTTCAGGTGAAAGAGAGGGCAAATTGTTATTCCCCTCCCTTAATACACAGGTTATTCTGCTTTGTTTTCCACCCTCATCTTCTGTCCTTGTCATCACTTTGTTTTTTGAAATAATTTTCCCTAATACATATTTCTCTGAACTGCCCCAGTAGACTTCACACTACTGCCAACAGGACAATGCTTTGCAGATCAGCCCTTCCTGGTTGTTGATAACCACTGTCAAGAACCTCTCTTAGCACAAAATTACATTCCTCGGCATAAAGTAGGTGGGTTCTGTGTAACTAATAAATATTAAATAAAAACAAAAAGTAATGCTGGCGATATTAAAGGGGTAGTTGAAGAATCTGAAGCGCCACAATCTTAAAGAGATAATATCCAAATAATTTTGCTAGTGAATTCTATCTTAGGCAGAGTAGCTATTACGCAGAGATCCCTTGAATTCTGTAGCCATCACAGTTTAGAAAGAAATGAAGACACATGTGACAAACTTTTCAAAAATGGTCTGGTGCTTTGGGAATGTAAATTTCTAACAGGACTTTTGGATACCTCATGACATCTGAAATAACTCTGGTGCTTTTACTGTAGATCTTCTCTACTTGGCTACTCAGTGGGTGATTCTTAATGGCAATGGCAAGCCCTGTTTACGAAAACAAGAGAAACCAGTTTTCCAGGAGCAGCTTCTCGATTCCTGAAATGTTCAGGAGCTACAAGCCCACTTCTTTGGCTCTGGGTCTCCTCAAAATGGTCTACTGATCAGTGATTTTTAGGCATAATCAGATACAGAATTTTAACAGAGTGCCTGCTTTCATAGAGTAGGGCAACTCAATTAGCTTAGGTCTTAGCATTCATAACGTTTTGCTGTCAGAATTTGTACCAAAAAAAAACCTGACGAGGGGTTCTTGATTAGTCAGGCTTAGCACAGTATAGAATCTTCCATCTCCAAAGGGCTTCTGACCTAAACAGAGAATCACTGAGGGAGGAAGAATTGTTGCTTCTATTTTGACATGGGGAGCTGAGACTTGGAGGAGGAGATACAAAACTGACAACTGCGATAATGGCTCCACTGTTCCCAGGTGAGGGTTCTGGAACCTTTTCTCTTCTGTGTGAGTTCTCAAGCCTAGAGAATGGGGCTTCTTGTGACTGGCTACTGATGTGCCCTAAGGTTTTTTGCTTTCTAAACAAAATACCTAAAGGTCAGTTTGTCATATAGTGGTTGTTCCCCAATAAGACTCCATGGTGGAGCTAACTCATCAGCAGAAGGCTAGTCAAGCTTCTGATTTGGATATGGCAGATGGCAATATCTCTTCCACCAATGCCCTATAAGCCCCGAACCTTTTTGCTACACTTTCTCCATGGTTTTAAGTTAGTATTTGAATAGGCTTATATCTATTTTTAAGTGTTGAGTTTATTATCTCCTATGTTTTGTGTTTGTTTCCCCCATTTTCTGTTCAAAACTTTTTATTTATTTGAATCTTCTGTACTGAAGAGTTAATTCTGTAACTTAAACAAGTGAATGTTTTAGCTCAATAGACCAAAAGATTACATATACCTGCTGGTATGTCAAGGGTAGACAGGTTAGACATTGTCTTTGGTATTTTGTTAAACTCATGGATTTTCTATCAGTACTTAGTGTGTATTATTTAGTGAGCTGTATCAATCTGTCTTTAAGTGTTTTATTGCAAATCAATTTTTTAGAGCTGTCACACTTTAAACATAGTGAGGGATTAAGCACCCATTTGTTCTATTTTGTTTTCTGCAGTGCTTGATTTTTGACTGTGAAAAACTGACTGGTAGCGCTTATCTGAAACAGCTCAGCTTGTCAAAAAGATGGCTGGTTCTGTCAGTTTCTTACAAAAGATGACAGTAAAAAGATCTTCCCTGTGTGATACAACATTGTAGTGAAAGAAACTATAAGATTACCATGGACTAAAGAGCAAAACTGTGGAAGCTCTCTCTCACTTGGAAATAAAGCAACAACCTGGACTTTAAATGCCCTGAGTGAAACTATGATTGCACTGAAACTAGCAAAAATTTCAATTTAATTTTTATTGCAGCTAAGCTCTGTGCTTACATAAAGTTAAAATATGCTTCCATTCATAGAAAAAGTCTTACCTTTGCAGGTAGGTGGTGTTGTCCATGTTCCATTTTCTAAGCAAATGCTCCGCAGGGGCCCCTCCAGCATGTACCCACTGTAGCATGAATAGGTGATCATGTCTCCATACTGATAGAAGCTACCACGAATCAGAGCATTCTCTATGTGAGTTGGGGGGCCGCAAGATATCTCTAAACAAAAGAAATCATCCACAGGTAGGTGAGCTGCAATGCCTTTATGATACAGTTTCTAAAGCTGGACACAATGCTGTCCAGGGCAGGAGCCAGAGACACACCTGTGATGATAAATCAGTAAAAGGGTGTCCAGGGACCTGGACAAAGTTGAGAAGTGGGCCCATGACAACCCCATGAAGTTCAACAAGTCCAAGTGCAAAGCGCTGCACATGGGTTGCACTTCTCCTCACAGACTGAGAGAAGAAGTCATCAAGGGCAGCCCTGTGGAGAAGGACTTTGGGGTTCTCATGGATGAAAAGTTGGACATGAGCCAGCAGTGTGCACTTGCAGCCCAGAAAGCTAATTGTATCCCAGGCTGCATGACTAGAGGAGTGGCCAGCAGATCAAGGGAGGTGATTATCTCACTCTACTCTGCCCTTGTGAGACCCCATCTGGAGCAATGAGTCCAGGTCTGGGGTCCTCAGCATAAGAAAGACATTGACCTATTAGAGCGGGTCCAGAGGAGGGCCAAGAACATGATGAGAGGGATGGAGCATCTCTCCTATGAGGACAGGTTGAGGGTGCTGGGGTTATTCAGCACGGATAAGAGAAGGCTTCAGGGAGACCTCATTGCGGCCTTCCAGTATCTTAAGGAATCATAAAAATGGACGGAGAGGAATTTTCTACAAGTGCAGATAGGTATGGGACAAGGGGCAACGCTTTAAAACTGAAAGAGGGCAGGTTTACATTAGATGTTAGGAAGAAATTCTTTACTCAGAGGGTTGTGAAGCACTGCAACAAGTTGCCCTGAGAAGCTGTGGATGCCCCACCCCTGAAAGTGTTGAAGGCCAGGTTGCACAGGGCCCTGAGCAACCTGATCTAGTGAACAGCACCCTCACTCATGGCAGATGATCTTCAAGGTCCCTTCCAACACAGACCATTCTACGATTCCACAAATCTAAACAATATTGCCTGCAAGAAGCTAAAAGACTTTCAGAAGTGCTTGCAAAAGGACACGATGTCTTCCATCAGTATCAGTAAATAAAATAAAAGGCAGCACCTTCGCTACAACTCTTGTCACTCATAATCTCCCAGGAATCATTCTCAGGATATTTATGGTATCCAACAACAAATCCTAGCTCCAGGGCTTGCAACAGGTAAACTGAGAAGAAATTTACAGAAGGGCCTAGTAGACAGTAGGAGGAATGCTCTTGGGGCACCAACCCACACAGATGTACTCTGGATCCTTTTAAAGAAATAACTCTGTTGGAAAGAAAGAAAACATAACTCTTCCATACAGCTTCTTAGGTAATCTTTATGTGCCTGGATCTCTCAGAGTGACTCATCTCTCAATAGCCCAATGGCAGACAAAAGCTCTCTTTTTCCAGAATACCTGCATCTGGGTGGAGAGCTCTGCTGACAGGTCTGTGCTGCCAAGCTCCTGTGTGATACAGCTGGGGTCACAAACTCTCTGGAAAGTACCAACCCCTGCGGAACTGCATGTCTTGTACTTACTTTCACACTTAGCTGTTGCTGGAGTCCAGGTCTCATCAGCATTACAGGTGATCACAGACTGCCCTTTGAGCTGGTAGCCTTCCCTGCACCTGATGGATACATTCTGACCAACATAAAAATCCATCTCGGACAGAAGGGCATTCTCTGGGATTATGAAAGGCACAGGACAAGGGTTTGCTGTTCAAAGAAAGGGTGTGAGGGAAAAGGAGAAGGGAAGAAAAAGGGATGGAAGGAAGAGAATACTTTAGTTTCTGTGGATTTCAAAACCAAATCATATGAAAAGCAATAGTAATAGAAGGTGTTCCCTTTGTTCCTCTGCAAAAATGGGATGCGCACCAAAAAATCTCCCAGTTTAGGCCAAACCTGTTTCTTAAACTACAAGGATAAATACTGGTCATGGCTGGTCCAGAAGAAAATTACACTGCATTTCCATGAAGATCTGTGAAAGTTGCTCTGATTTACTGTCAGTTTAAAGGAAGAGTAGCCCACAATGCTTACAAAAGAAGACCCCTTTTCCATTACAAAGCGAACACATACGTTTACAGAGAGGTAAGGGATTACTCCATCTTCCATCTCTTGTGCACTCTGCTGCAGATTCTCCCTCCAAGCTGTATCCCCTCTCACAGAGATATGTTACTGTACTGCCAACTGTATTGTTTTCATAAATTGCCTTCCCGTTCATCAAGGAAACTGGAACTTTACATCTGGTCTCTGCAAAGACAGAGGTCTCATTAATTCAGCTTGATATTAGACCTGGACTTCCAACAATTCCTAAATTAGTCATACAATATGTTTAAAGCAGCCACAGACTAATAAGTCATGAAGAACATTAAGGGAGAGTTCAGTAGCCCTGGGAAGGAAATGCAGCCAAGCCAGAGAAGGAGCTCCTCCCAGTAATGGTGAAAAGCCGCAGCCTTATGTTTTTTCAGGTCAGTAAAATGTGTCAGTGATGGGGAAGAGAGGACACATTTATGACTTCATACAGGGTCAGTAGGGCAGAACATGTAAAATGTTCTTTCTTGCCACTGACAGATAATCCGGAAACCCTACATTACAGAACAGTTTCTAGCAACATAATCCCTGGATCATATGTTATGCATGAATAAGGGAGGAGCTATTGCTTTTCCCAGATTGGAATGCGCAAGGACATGAAACCAAACAGTTACCTTCACACAATGGCAAGGGTTTGCTCCAGCTCCCATTTGCAAGACATGTGATATTCTGGGGCCCAACAAGATGGTATCCGGAGTTGCACATGAAGGTTACATTACTTCTGTATGTGCTTCCTGTAGAAATGGCCTCTGCTTTTTCTATGGAAGGATGCAGCCCACAAGTAATTTCTAGGAGAGAAGAAAACTTTTGGGGTTTACACACACAATGAAGGTTATTCTGTCTGTCAGTTACACACTGCCTGACAGCTCTGTTCGCACACTGAATTGATGGAAAGACAGGAAGCAAGAAGCCGTGAACTATTATGTGGAGAAGGGTTACACAATGCCTTCCCTGCTCTTTCTCCTGGGGTTCACATTGCAGACATATGAGAATGTGCCCAAATGTATCTGATGATGTTGCAAGCTATGAGGTGTTCAATCCAACAGAGCTATGTGGAATATTTCTTCTGAGTAGGCCAGATGCTGCATTTGCAGTCTCCTTTGCTCCCCTACAGTGGAAGGTCATCTCAAGATGTGCTTAAGAAAAATGACATTAGTTAAGAAGGATCTTGACCCCTTGTCCCACACTGTGGAGACCAGGCAAATTCATCAAAGGTGAGAGAGAAGAATGCAAGGGATAGGACTATGACACCACCATGAGAAGATGGAAAATCATTATTTATAAAGACTATAATTGGAATTTTATTTATAAGCTGTATGAAATAAGTAATAAATCCTTCTTTCCTTGCTCCCACAATTAGCCATCTTCTACTGCACAGTGAGCTACGATTTGATCCTAGGGAGAGCACGTGGTCTTCAGAAGTGGCCAGGATATATTAGCTTTGGCATGGCAGGTACAAACATAATGTCCAAGGCTTTGCAGAATACAGTGCAAGACAAATCAAATACAGCAGGCCTCACTCCCGCTCTACTGACCTGAGCACGACTCTATGTTTATGCCATTTTAATGTGCCAAAAGGAGCTCCCTTCAGATCAGTGAGGAGCTGCCAATGATAATTTCTCTGCCAGCTTTTCTCCTGGCTCCTCCTTTTACAGTCCCCCCTGCTGCAGGGGAAGACAGAGGAAGCCAGCCAAAGCACTCTTAAATTTCCTGGATGTCATGTTACTCTGCTTGCTACTTACGCATGCACATAGGGGCGGAAGGGCTCCACTTTTTGTCAACATGGCAAATCCTTCGGCTTGGTCCCTGTAGCTCAAAGCCAGGGTCACAGCTGTAAAAAACTTCACTGCCAAACAGGAACTCCTCTCCCTGAACAGATCCATTTTCTATCATGTCTGGGGGTCCACATGATACTCCTGTAATGCAAGCAATACTTTCCAATCAAACATAACATATATGGCCCGTTTTGTTCACAGTTTCTCCACAGGTTTTACTCTGAGAAATCGGGAAAGAGCACAGCAGTTGTCTGGTCATTGCCAGATATTTGTTCCTGAGTAGCAGAATAGACTGGTGCTTGGCGTTTCCAGTTCTTGCTAAAAGAAAAAACCTATTGTGGCTGTGCTGGCAGGAAGCCTCAGGGAACTGCTGCCACTTTCAGCCAACAGCTGAAGTCCACATAAACATTTATGTAGAAACTCCTATTTTGGCACTGCAGCCAGTGACATCTCACAGAAGTGAAGTACCTTTGAGAATTAATAGAGTTACATTTGAGGATGCTAAGTACCTGTGACTGCTGGCAACTAATGTGTTCAGAGGCCCTCAGTGACCCCAGAAATCATGACCTCAAGCATCAAAACTATTTGAACCCAGAAGCTGTCTGCAGAGCAGACAGCAGGAGCAAGGCAGAAAGGTGATTTCCTTCACACTACTACCTGCACATACCAGTAATTCTGCAACTCTTCCAGGTTGTTAACAGTGGTACTTACCAAAAATTTTTAGGTAAATGCAGACAGTATGAGTTATAAAGCAAAACGTGCATTAGTATTTTCTGTTGTGTAATATCACCCTTGACCAACATTAAGTGATAGACTCAGGTGGAACGTACTTCTGCACACCGGCACTGTGCCACTCCAGAGCTTG